TACTTGGAGTTAACACTTGCTATGATATGATGGGATGAATATGTTTTGCATGTTGCAAGGATGTGATTTTTGGGAGGCCAAAGGGTGGAATGTCATGGTTTGAATTATGTCCCCCCAAAAATGTATCAATTTGGCTAGGCCATGATTCCCAGTGTTGTGTGGTTGTCCTCTATTTTGTGATTGTAATTTTACATTAAAGAGGATTAGGGTGGGATTGTAACACCACCTTTACCCAGGTCACATCCCTGATCCAACATAAAGGGAGTTTCCCTGGGGTGTGGCCTGCACCACCTTTTCTCTCTCAAGAAAGCAGTACTGGGAACAGAGTGTGTCCTTTGGACCTGAGGTTCCTGCACAGAGAAGCTCCCAGACCAAGGGAAGATTGATGACACAGACCTTCCTCCAGAGCCGACAGAGAAAGCGTTCCCCTGGAGCTGATGCCCTGAATTTGGACTTGTAGCCTACTGGACTGTGAAAGAATAAACTTCTCTTTGTTAAAGCCATCCACTCTTGGTATTTCTGTTATAGCAACACTAGATGACTAAGACGATGTTTGTAAGACAGGAGCTATTGCAGCATGAGTATAGTGAAATGCTCCAGTAGATAGGGAAAAATTGGTGATGCAGAAGAAAGAACTGCTAGAACAGTGGCCTTCAGTTGGTGAGGTAGGATGGGCTCTACCTAGAGCAAATGGAAGTATTACCTGCTATCACTTAAGGAGGCATGATTGGTAATGATAAGCTTCACCAGACAAGATCAGGAAACTCAGAAGCCAGGGTGTTGGTGGAGACAGAGACAGTGAGCCAAGAGCTAAAATATTTAAGCAATGAGGGGGAGTGGCTGAAGGTAACATAGGAACTTCAGAGGGTAATGGCAGGAGCTTCAGAGTGGTGACTGTGTGTGTGTGTGTGGGGGGGGAATAATAGCCTGCAAGTGACAATGAGAACAAGCAGGCATCCTATTACTATTAATGTTTTATTATTCACAATTCACATTTTGATAGTGATAACATAAAATAATATATTCCAGGGTGTAGCAGTGACTGTACGGAAAAACTGCAGCTTAGAACCTACCATAGCATTTCTAGCCACTGGTTGGAACAACTGTAGACAATGCTTCCTGAAGCCTTTTGATGCAGGAAAAAATTATTTGAAAGTAACTGAACCAAAAAGTTCAGACTAGGAAGTATGCCAGGAAGATTGTTCTTTTATCCTCACACAGGTGAGGCTCTATCCAGTTTTAATGAATTTTTGACAATTTAAAACACTTTAGGAGACTGAAAATTTAAAAAATGTAAACAATTGTAGGCACAGCAAAATGATAGCTTTCCCTTCCAATATTATACATTTGGCATTTCTACAGTTACGTTAACATTGTAAATCAGACAGCTAAAATGTACAAAAATAGTTTTACAGCATCTCCAATTTTAAAATTCATCTAAGCCGTCATTTTTTTTCCTGCTGTATATTTATTTCTTGCTGCCACCTTACATTTGAAATTCTGATTCATGGTAATGTCTGAGGTTTCCTAAATAAACCGTAATGTGATATTTCTATTTCTTAACACTACTACCCTCAGGGGGAGGGGGAAAAAAGGAAGGACAACTGGGGCATAGATATTTGCTATGTACAAATAATGATCCATTGCTGGAAATACAAACTCACCTTTCCACCAGCATTTGGTCAGCCTCAATAGTGCAATTCAAATCGGTGCAGATGAAAGCAAACCATCAAAACCAAACCCTTGTGTGCAATGAGTTGAATTCATTTGAAGATGTCTACACCAAGCTTGTCGAGGAAGACCCCTGACGAGATGGATTGACACAGTGGCTGCAGCAATGGCCTCAAACATAGCAATGATTGTGAGGATGGCAGAGGGCTGGCAGTGTTTTGTTCTGTTGTACATAGGGTCGCTAGAGTTGGAAACGACTTGACAGCACCAACCACCACCACCAAGCCAAAAATCTGGAACTGTTAGAATATTTTTATTTATGACTGAGTTTTCTAATCTTCATCCAAATGTTTGGTTCATGAACACACAGTCCATGATTTTGAACTGGATTTAAAAATAGATCAAACCTTACCCAGGAATTATTATTATTTTGGTCTAGAAAATGCTTTTATGGCAATTTTTATTTTGGTACATTCTGGCACTTCCTGGAATGGCAGGCCTAGAAGAATAACGTTCAAAGCACAGAGCTGTGATCTTAGACTATTAAATGCTATGCAAATTATTGAATATTCTAGTTGTCTATGGAAAAATTCCCAGAACAATGGTACAGTATAGAAGTCAAAAACACTAGAAAATGTTCAGTAGAAATGTATAAATTGTCAGTTTTGAACTTGCAAATTCTAAAGAGGTTTTCTTTTTGCTGGGGCTCCTGAAATGACATCAGTTTATATCCCCTTTATGGGAGACCCATGAAAGGGCAGCTCACTTTTGGGTTCCTGATGTTGCTACACTGACCAGGCCCAAAATGTAGTGGTGTTTGTGAGAAATATTAATTGATAATTAATGAGATCAAATTTAGACTTCTAGATTTTATGTTATAACTCTGTAGTCTCTGGGGAGGCCAGGTTTTGGTTTGTTTGATTTGGTTAGATTTAAATTTCTGAGGAATGAACTAAAAGGTAAATAATAAGTCACTGAAAGTGTTGAGACGGTCAGAACATAGTGTCAGAGTGGATTTTAGAATACAGTGAGCATGGGTGGGTCATTCAGAATTGTTATAAGCTTGATGTGGATTTTCTCATATTTTCCTTCAGCAGGTTTGATACACATGGGGTTGCCATGAGTCGGAATCCACTTGAAAGAAGTTGGTTTTAGGTTTGATGAATAACTGTATCTTCTTTTTTAAAAATAATGTAGCACATCTTATATTTTAAAGCAATCAGCACAAATGCAAGTAATGCCTGTTCAAGCAGACTTTCAAAGACAACACACACTATTATTAACACAACGAGCTCTTCCACAGGTCATTAATACAGTGACAGGAACTGGTACACATATTAGTGGGGAAAACATTTTCTTTTAACTCCATGGAATGTGAGGTCAGACTTCAGCCGCATTTCCTTGTCTGGCAATGGACAAAAACCAAATGGCCTGGGCCTGAATTTCACATCTCTTTCTAATCTACTGCATAGGAGGGATCAGAGACACCAGTTACCAATGAGTCACAAGAGCAGACAGAAAATTGTTAGTAGGTCTTGACAACCAGAAACTAAGATGCTTTTAAAAAAATGTATACTTGGTGCAAAGTATGTTAGGAGTGCATCTGAGAAAGCAATGCCAAAGTATTAGAAAAATGGAGTCCCTAACCAAGTGGTCTTGTGAAATTTCACCTACCACTTAATCTACACTGTTGAATAAATAAATAGCTCTAGGTCTTCTTGAAGCATTGTTTAAATGTCTTTAAGAAAAATAATGAGATCTATCTAAATAGAGCCATCAGATTTTATGTAGAACTTAGTGAAAGCTGATTTCATTTACATTCTGTGCCATGACATGATTGGAATGGAACTGGAATGAGGCGGACCCTTGCCATCTGAAGGGACCTTTAAATGAAGGTCATCCATTTCTACCACCCACTGGATGCAGGAATCCATGCTACAATATCCCTGACTGTCACCCAGGAATAGTGGTTACCTGCCAGACCCTAGACCAAGAATATAATGTGGGCAGGCTCAGTGGATCATATTAGATGATTATATCAATTTAGATCAGTGAGGACTGAAAGATCTTGTGAAACGTACTTTGGGCAGGAGCTCAGTTTCTCTTTGTAGGAAAATAAAAACAAAATGAGCCAATTCTAGAAGCAAAATCCCCAACAGGAAGATCAAAACTAAGGAAATTTTTATTAAGTTGCTATTAAGATAGACAAAGAGCACAACCACCCTCCTCTTCTCCCCAAAAAAGAGAATTAAAGCAAACAAAAAAGTTGGGAAATGTATGAGCTACAGGACAGCATTCCAAAATATTCTGCATGACCAAGGCCTCAGTATGTCAGAGCTAGGGCCTGTCCTGATGGAGGAAAATGCATTTTTGAAGATAAAAATCTTCAAGGAATTCTTTTTAGGTATTTTTTAAGGAGCACAGATTTGTGGGGGAGAGCCCTTTTAAATTTGGTCTTGCCTTCTACTCAGTGTAAAATATTTGTACAAAAATATAAAAGGCATGGCTTGATGTTTAACGTCTGTGTTTTATTGTTGTTGGCACCAGAAAAGCTCATGTTCTATGTTATGTCACTGTACATACTGTAAACAAGACTGCATTAATATTGTTTTCTTATGATTTTTGCTTCAATGAATCTAGGTTTTAAAAAATACATTCACAAACTACCTTATGTTTAAACACAATGATTCCCTTTTATTTCTTAACTGTACCCCAAAATCCCACAATAAAAAATCATTTAAAGCTGTGTGTTTCAAAACTTATTATTTAGAAATAAAAACAAAACAAAACAAAAAATAAACAAAGATCAGTTTGCAACATAATTTAAAGAAGCTTCTGGTTTAAAATACCACAGTAGCAATATAAAGAGCTGGTGGCAATCACATTCGGGGATGAGACCCAGATCAATATATTTTGTCCATGTCAGCATCCAATTACAGTAGTTGTTAAATTCAATCCAAAAGTTATTGCTGAATTTGTTGCATGCAATTTGTGAAGACAGTACTGTTCAGCAGCGTAACCGAGCAGTAAAAATGAGAACGGGAGGATTTCATTGCTTTTGAGAGCTAAAGGGACCATGATGAGGACATCTTGGTGACTGCCTGAAGATAATCCTCAATTCCATTCCTGTATGTTACCTGCTTAAAATAAATGCAAATGACAACCACCTCTACAGGAGGGGCGTAAGTATCTAATCCAGAAACCAGAAGATTCCCCTTTTCCTTCCCCCCTCACCCAAATCACCAGATTGAAATGGCTCCATTCCCTAATATGGATTTCGTTCTCATTAATAGTACATCAGCTGCTCATGTATTCAGGCAAAATCAGTAGGGTCATAAAATTTTTTTTTTTTTTTTTGGCTCTGTTTGCAGTAATCATATGGTTCTCCAGAAACAAGCCACATTAGGTTTTATTGCTGTTGGTATTTTTCATTTTTTTAAGAAGAACAATTTGGCCAACCACTGTTTTGTTTTAAAAATATTAAATACACCTGAGATTGCCAGTTGAGCTCTCTATATGTCTCCTGGAGATAACACTGCTATGATGAACAGTGAAACACAAACAAACAAAACGAGGTAGGTTAAAACAGGAAGCGCAACACAGATATCGTTTTGCAACACCTTGATACCACAGGCGGCCATGCTTGTAGCTTCGGAAAAAAAATCTGAGACAGTCACGTAGAAGTTCAAATGATCTGAGTAAGAGTTTATAGGACACAAGTCAACCTGAACTAAATACATACATATTTCTGCACAAATGTTGTTTACCGTATGCTGGGTAATTTGGAGGAAGGGAAAATGATTAGGGTCTCAGTATTTTGGCCAAAGCCTTGCTTTCAAGTTCTGTAAAACTCAAACCAGCAATGCCTGCTGTGTCTGTCTCAGGCAGGCTCAGTAGTCTAGTCCCTTCACTCACCAACCCAGAGAGAACACAGGCAGCTCAGAAACATTTATTATTCATTTTTTTTTTCAGTCACAGTTTTCATCTTGAGAAAGTGGCACCCTCAGGAGAGAGATGGGAATGACCAGAGCCTGGATGTCATCCACTCCTCAATTCCCAGAAAGAATTCCACAAAGTCTCAGTCCTAATGAAGCCCAAACCATGTGACCTCTTAGCCATAGAGGCTTTGTGCATTTAAATAAAAGAAAAAAGTATAAGCTTGTTTCCCAGAGCTCTTTCTGCCTGATCCCATCTGCCATCCCATCTTTTGCCCTGATCTGCTGCTTAATAGCTGAGGGAGAGCTGTGTTATGGAGTCCCTCAATCGCTAGAGCCAACTCAACTCAACGGCACTACTATCCCATTCAACACACTCCATCCTGTAGAGGGTCATATAAGAATATGGCCTGTCAGACTCACAAAAATGGTAGTTGATTTTATTAGTCTAAGGCTAGTAGTTTAGCCATTTAAAACCTATTTCCCAAAAGAGGGGAAAACTAGTATTTTTCTTCTCTTTTAAAAATTCATTAGCCAGTTGCTATCAAAAAGCAACCTTTTGGGTTGGTGAAGGCAAAAGAGTTCTAAAATTACTCCACTACGCAGTTATGGCCTTCAGTGTGAGGAGATAAGGTACATTTATTGTGCTGTCTCTCACCGTTTGAAATTGGAAATTTTACAACATACCATATACTTAAAGCTAGCAGGCAGACAGAATTAAAAACAGACTCATTTTCTCAGTATGCGTTCTCTCCCCATTCTTACGAAGTAAGGGGGTAAAGAAAAAGGTAAAAATCTCAAAACCCACCAAAACACAACTTGATCATAAGAGCATACAGTATTTGTTTCTATCCCTAACTCCGAAGGGCACATGTCCATCTCTGTCCACAGACAATGCAGCGTCCTTGGGAATCTCCTGGAAATTGCTGCCACCTTTTTCTCTCTTTCTCAACCAGGCTGCAACACTGAAAGATGGACTGTACTGGGAGGGGTGGAGGGAGAGGAACAGGGGCAAGTGGTAAGTTCAACCAAGCCTTCTGATTCTGCCTCTAGACTGGCATAAGTCCACATGAGTTATGTTCTTTTAAATTAGAACTAACGCCATGAAGATAAGTGCCAAGTGCTCTTCTGTTACCAGTTCATCATGGAATTTCTGTTGAGGGTCATGAAAAACACTTGGCTACTTCCTCCAGATCGCACGGATGCAAAAAATACCTGTTTGAAATTAAAAAGAAATTAGTTCAACTGCATTTTTCCCCTTTTCTTCTTCAACCGTCCATCCATTTTCTCTCACATGTCCTAGCCTTGCCATGTGTCAGCTCTTACAGCTTAATGGCTGGTGTTTAATAAAGTACCTTTTGGTACAGTGCATCCTATGTAAACACTCCTGCCTTTATTACTATGGTTATTATTATTACTGATCGTGGTAGTGGCCTTCAGGGACACTGAAGGGGCAACATCTTGATTCATAAAATCCTTTTGGGTGCTCACATTTTAAAAGGGAGTTTAATGCTAGGATAATGTGCTGGATTTGTGGCCTAGGACAGAACAAGCCCTTTATTAATTTCTGGAAAGGCACAGAGGTCACACTTCTCTCCCCCATAATGACAAGAGGGCAGACGTTGGGATTGAAGAGAAAACTTTTCAGATTCCTAAAGTCAAGGAGAGAATTTTGGGCCTACTGACTACTATACAACTTTAGTTTCCAATCTTTTAAATTAAAAAAAATAAATGAATTGTTTGTGGTCAAATAAGGTAAGGTGTTTAATGCCTATTGGCTGTGACATTTTAAGAGTTATTGCTTGGCTTCTCTGCTGACTCTGGCATATCCCAGGCCAAATGAGATGACGGCATTAATAAGGGAACCACAGTCCATTAGGTCTGAGTCCATTAAATCATTTCATTAGAGTTGAGAGAAGTGAGCAAAATTTAGGTTACTGCTTGCTTGAGCTGAATGTTAATGAACCACTGCCCCAGGAGAGTAATATTCTGGGCGTGGCCTAGCCCTTCAGTCAGTCAACACCTAACTTTGGTCCAAGGCATTTGCTTTTGTCACTAGTATAAACGTCTCTGCTACTTCAGCTCCACAGCTCCTTCAGGAGAACGCTGTCTCTCAGCAACAGCTCCTTCAACAGTTCTGCGGAACTGCTTGCCGTTCAGCCAAGGCTACGTGTGAAAGTAAAGCTGACATCAGGGGCAATGAACCAAATGGGGAAGCACAGAGAGGGAGGGAAAGAAGGGCTGCTGCTCTCTCCAGGTTGTGTCTCCTGGTCTCTAAACCTCAGAGCCCAGTCACAGGTGTGGTCCTGGCCTACTCCTGAGGGTGTAAGCACATCCTGGGACAGGCTTGCTGGGCGGGGGGTGGGAGGGGCGTCGTCAATGAACCTGAGTGTGGGGGTCCATGCCAGATCAATCTTAGTTTTATGAAACCCAAAGAGACTGGGTGGATGCTGGAGTGTTACCAGGGGTCAGGCCTGTTTTCTGACATACTCTGGTATGGCCCTGGGACCATCCTTGCCACCCCCAGCCACTGTACACCCATACCACACCAAGTCAGAGTTGTTGGCCAGGGTCGAATCTAGACTAGACCCACACCTCCAGGGTTGGACTAAGACCAGACTGGCCCCTGGGGAACAAGGGTGGGCAAATACAGACATACAACTGTTCAAGCCATCACATTCTTTTCTATGTGTTTATGTCTGCTGCTTTTGGGAAAGCACTTCTATGTTGGGGATGGCCACAAAAGATGAATTCACAAATGCAGTACAGCTTAGCTTCTAAAAACTCTGGGTTACTCTACAGGAAGCGTAAGGTGGAATTGGCACTGCTGCAGAATACCCTTCAGTGGTAACTAATCATGCCAGATGGACAAAGCCAACTTCCTTGGAAAACAGTCCCCCTATGACACTTCAGAAGAAACATGGCTGGGATGACAGAGGACATGGCACTAGTTGAGTTTGTGATTGTGCATTCCTTAAAGAATGGGTGACATTTTGTAAAAGTTTATATTACTACATATCAAATGTTTTACATTTAAAGGTGAAGATAATATGATGAGTTAGGTCCTGATAGTGACTTTGTGAGAAGTCTAAAAGTGGAAGTATAAAGCTGACCCACTGTGAGGTGATTAATGCGGGCCAACTATTCTAAGAGCTTAGGAGAATTTGGGGTATCTGCTGAGTCATCATAGGGCCCACAGGCCACAAAGGTTACTAAGAGTTTACAAGAAATTTTAAGATGTTCTTATGTCTTTTTTGATATGTGAATAATGTATTTTGAGTGCTCACATGAATCAAACCAAATAATGCCATTTTAAGATAATATTGATTGTTTAACACAGATGTGACTCAAATCAGTATAGAGGAAAATGAAGGTTTCACAGGTACCTGGTGGTCTCTTAAAATGCAAACACTAATGCAAATGTTGAAACGGATTTACCTTATCATTTCTTTCACATAGAAACTTTAACCTTTGAGCTCGCTTATGCATAAATACGCCATCCAAATGTCCTGTTTCCACTGACCGGATCTCAATAGCTTTCTCGCCCCAGCCCATTATCTGATTGGAATGAATGTAGGCTGTCAAAAGGAATTTCCAAAACTGCATTAAAAACATTAGATGGGCAATAACTCACAGCATCTGTTCACATCTTAACCACAAAAACGACAAACAACTTGAGATAAACGGACAAAGCAAGTCTTACAAGTGTTAGTCACAGACTTTTTTTTTTTTTTTTGTGGAATCAAATGGTTGTTTCACATTTCTTGACTTTCGTTTCATTTGGGGGGTGTAACTGCTGAAGGAGATAAGGAATGGTTAACCTACCCACAGACGTGGGCATTTCTCCCCATTGGAGCACCACATCCTTAGTTATCCGCCCGTAGGTGTTTACATACACCCCCTCATCCTCATAGCAAACAAGCATTTCCATTCCATCTGTTTTAGGCAAGATGACAATAGCATGAGGAGTGATATTGCCCTGAATCTAGAAGACAAAGAAAGGCCAAGCGTTATTCTTTTTAAAATAAGACAATACCTTGAATATTTATCTCTAAGAATTGTTAAGAAAAAAAAAATGTATATATATATATATTTCATTTTTCACTCTAGAGACTGAAATCTGCTTTGCTTAATTTGATGATTGATCTGTCAAATACTCTGGTAAATACAAACCTGGTCACTAGGTCGAGAACACAATTTACCTGCTCCTACACAGCAACGCCAATCACTGGGCTAGGTCCCTTACAAATTTCCAGTCTTTACAACAGCTCCCTGCTCTCCACATAGATATGTTTGTTTACAAATGAGTTAAGTGCATCTTACGGGGGTTAGGTACCTAGACTAAAGCTGCACTAGTATTTGGTGGTAGAATTGGGATTTGAACCCATATCCCGCTGGCAGTGAATTTCACATGTTTTCCATTAGAATAAGCTCCTTCCAAAAAGATAAGGGAATGCAAGCCAGCTGAATCTGATGGAGACAGCCTAAATACCCGAGGGGCCAAGATGCAAGCTCACCAAATGGGATATGAACATATAACACAGATTGTTTATCTGGGTGTCAGAATAATCCAAATTAATGGCTTGTGTAGGAAAAAATTTTTTTTTTAAAACTATTACTCATTATAAAAACAAACAAATGTTACTGCAATAAATGTGGATTGACTTGTTCTAGGAAAAGGGGTGGGGCTGGGTGATCCCCTGGAATGCAAGTCATTAGTTGAGAATATCATGGCAGCCCAGTATGTGCTTCATCGGTGTATGAGCGGGTCACCAAGGATGATCACAGTGACGTCCCAGCTGTGTCACTGAGGACAGGAGCTGTGAGATCCTGGGTGCAGGTGCACACACATGCGCTCTAATGCAGCACTGAATGACAATTGCGTGTCTGTGTATGTGTGTGTGTAATGTACTAAAATAACGTTTTTCAATTATTGTGCTTCTTTGAAGTAAGGTCTTTAAACTCTTGAAGTATCAGTCAGGAACAGACTAGGTTTCAGATTGTCCTGATAACAGTTTCTACTGTATGTTCGCCATGGGATTATATATAGGACACAAATCTGACATCACAACAACCCTACTAAGTGAATCCATGTGCAGTGTTTCCCTTGAGAAGCCATGTTTTAGGCAATGAGCCAGTACAGTAATACTAATAGTATATTATTAATAAGGAGGGCTCCAATTTGTAGGGCCCTGTGCCAAGCACTTTAGAGCCATTATCTCATTTAATTCTGACAGTAACCCTATGAGATAGGTCCTTTTATCTCCATTTCACAGATGTGAAAGCTGAGGGCTGGAGAGGCTAACTAATGTGTCCAAATTGCAAAGGTAATACATGGTAGAGTCAGGGTACGAGCTCCAGTGTGTCTGAATCCACTACCCACATGGCCCTCAAGTTGAAGAGAAGAACTAGAAATAGCAGAAAAAGGAGTTTCCCCACAAAACTAGTACCTGACTATTGGCCTTCACTCACATAAGAAGAACCAATCTCGCTTCAAATGTTGAAAATAAGAAGTCATCTATTATAGTCCTGCTTAAAACACAAAATTTTTGCCCCTGAAGGAAAAACATCCTATGTGTTTTAGTTCAATGTCTAGAGAGAGAAATGGAGAAATGTCAAATAATTTCTATTGTCACGTTACTCAGATTTAGGTAGTGATAAAAATGTGTTAAATTTACACGTCTTATTTATCAAAAGCATTCTATCTACTTAAACAAAGCAAAAATAAAAAAAAATAAAAAAAAACCCCCAAAACAAACAAACAAACAAAAAACCCAAACACGTTCCAATCGAGTTGATCCTAACTCACAGCCACCCTATAAGTCAGAGGAGAACTGCCCCATAGGGTTTCCAAGGCTGTAAACCCACAGAAGCAGACAGCCACATCTTTCTTTCATGGAGTGGCTGGTGGGTCCCAACCACTGACCTTTAGGTTAGCAGCCTAACGCTTAATCACCGCGCCACCAGGGCTCTTTTCTATCTAGTGAAGGCCAAAAGTTCACCTGCTTCACCGATTGTAAAAGTTAGTACGATTTCTACTGAAAGTTCTTTCTGCATGCAGGCTGTTAACAGACAGCCATTGACATTCGCTTCCAGGAACTTACATGAGATGGTATGTAGATATCATAAGAGTTTCCTGAATCAACATCAATTACATGGAAACCAGTGTGTGAACCAAAAATAACCTTTAATCTTTGACCTTCTTCTACCGTGAGATCAACAAGCAGAGGCTTGTGCTGGAGATCTGCAAAAGACTTTAAAAATCACCCCATGAGTATCCACATTATCCAAAGAGGTTATCTTAATAATTCTTTCCTTTGGCCATTGGCTGGTGGAAATTAATCTCTGACTTTCTTAAATTAAAAAGCTAGGAGATGTCTCTTTCCATTTTAGGTCTATTAATATTCTGGCTCTCAGAGGTAGGCCCTAGCACTCATTGTGCCCCTTTCTTTACCCCTTTACCTCCAGGACAGAGAGGTTGATTTAGAGTTGTCAATTTGATAGTGGGTGGCATCATTAATTGTATATTAAAAAACTGGTGCTTGGGTACTACTGTTCTTTCCGGTTTATTTCTAGCCTTTTCCCTCTGGAAAAGCCACAGAAACATCTCTGGCCCCTCTTACTCCCCTGTGGCAGCCAGGGCCATCCATGGCTGCTGTCTTTCAGAAAGAGCCTGGGGTGGGCAGCTGAGGCTGGCCCTGTGCTAAGCCTGTTCAGGATAATGGGTGTGGTCTGGTTACGACTTTCCTTCAGTGAGTGATAGGAGGTCAGACTGGTGCTTTCCCTACACTTAATGCTGAATCTGAAAGTTGGGTTTTGGGTGATTGATAAGGAGGGTGGGAGGCAGGGGTGAAACATCACAAGTCTCAAGCTTCTGTTCGCTACTTGTGTTTAACTGACAGGAAAAAAGAAAGCTCCAGCCAAGTTTATTAAGGTTCTGTGTGTTGGAATCTGGGGCCCAAACCCCAACTAGCTGTCCAGTGTTCCTCTGTTTTCCTTTACCACTGTTGAATCACACTCCACCTTTACTGAGTATTGCAGGCCAAGAGAGAATTTGTATAACCTCATGTGCTTTGGCCATAATGCCACTGGCACCTAACAGACCTCCCTCTCCTCATCTTTTCCTAACATCATTCTCAGAGCATAGGAAGCACTGATCTCCTGTCCTTGTCCTAGGGGAGGACTTGACCCCCTGCCAGCTCCAGCCTTTCCAGTCCAAGTTTCCTTTCCCAGGCTGGGTCTGGACTGCTGAATAGAGCAGTTTGCACCTTCTCATTCACTTTGGCTATTACACTGATTGATGGCAGTAACTCCAGAACTCGAATGCGAATGGGGTCCTGATTGAAAAGCTTTTGCATAGACAGGTTTTGGCAGAACAGTAGCACCACTTTAGCTTTTAAGGAGTCATCCCTTAAAAGTTCTTCGTTATTACTAACCTGATGCATTCCAAAAATGGCTCTCCATAAAAGTGGGGTTATGCAAGAGAGCCTATTGCCACTGGCGAGTCTATCTTCTTGAGCACATCACAAATGAACCATTTGCACTAAGGGCACAATTTAAAAGTGGGGTGATTCAGCCCCAAAGAGAGCCAACATAATGTTCCCATGGCAGTTTCTGCCCTTACGCAGCATATGTGGCAGGAAAAAATAAATAAAGGGAGATAAGTCACAAAGGTGGAGAGAAAAAAGTGAGGGCCGATAAGATACAGAAGGAGAGACAGAGAGGAAACAGGATATAAATTCACTTCGGCCATGGAAAGGCTATGTGGTTCTGCACACATCAGCATGCCTGCAAGTACTGGTCTTCCTGGCATTTTGGGGTCAGCCTTCATTGTGCTGCGCAATGAGACTAGCCTATTCCCAACCTGCTGAATCTCATGATTGATCAATTCCACCATGATGGATATAGACTCAGCCCAGGTCAAAAATGAAAAGGCAATAAAAACTGAGTAATGTCAAGAAACTAGGTCATTTCCCTAAAATTACTGCATTCAGTATTCATTTCAGAGAAGTCCAACAGCAATGTGGATATGAGCATCAACTGAGTTTTAGGGATGTCACCCAGAAAGGCTTACAAGGTTATGAGATTTAGAGATTCAGTTCAACCTTGAGATTTGGTGCTGTTGTTGGTCTGCCTTTTTCAGACAAAATATCAGAATATGTCCTAGTTAGGTGACTTCATACTGAGTCTTACTGCATAATAGCACAGTCAGTGCTTTACCCGGCCACCACTCCATCCTAAATGTCTCCTGATTCCTAGACCTCCAATAGAGGAGGGTACGCCCAAATTTTCACTGACTAACTTTACAGCATGGTATATACTTAGTCTTTACTTTTGGAATAATAAAGCCAAGAATATCTATACTTTCAAAACAGGAAAATTGGTATTGGTCTTTGTGCCAGATGGACAGAGCACTTTACGGGAAACTGCTTTTTAGGTAATCACGTGCCAGCTTACCTTAAATGCCATAAACTTATGATATGGTTTTGGGGCCCAAGCATATATCTCCACGGCATTCTTTAAGGCAATCACCAAGAATTTGATCCTTTCATATTTAACTGTAATAAAAAATTTATAAATTTAAAAGTATATCACTTTATTCAAGTTTTTTATTTTAATGAATATGGAAGCTGCTATACGTAAATATATATAATACATATATAAAACCATAACTGTATACAAATATATATATAAAACCAAAATCAAGGGTGATGCTCCTGTTGTGGAATTTTCTCGTGGAAACAGACTTAACTTCCTTTAATGTATTTGGTTGCTATGAGTAAAATCGACTTGACAGCAATGGGTTTAATATATTTAGTCTGCAGAATAGTTGAGGTCTTTTGTTTTATACTAAAGGCTGTTTTCTCCACCTAAAGATGTAACTGCTTAACCACTAGGTCTAGATGTGAACTATTCATTTGTAATAATAATCTATCTTCATATAAGTGTTCCTGCTTTTTATTTCACCCACATGTAAGCAGCTGAGAGCTGGTATGGCAAGATGGTGGAAACATCAGCAAATGGGTACAGACATAAAGGCTGCCCCTTCCTTATTATTCAGATTTGAATTCCAATTTATTAAGTGAAATAATTGCTTGTTTATGTTTTTAATGGAAGATGTAGTCTGGGTTCTGTTAATGGCCTTATTTTTCAGGGCTCCACATACTTTGACAATGCTTTTATTCTATAGGAAGATGGAACATTCTCAAAAACCAAACTCATTGCTGTTGAGTCAATTCCAACTCATAGCGACCCTATAGGACAGAGTAGAACTCCCCCATAGGGTTTCCAAGGAGCGGCTGGTAGGTTCGAATTGCTGACGTTTTGGTTAGCAGCCGAGCTCTTAAGCACTGCGCCCCCAGGGCTCCGATGGAACATTAGGCATCTTAAATTCAGTGGATAGAAATTTGGTATAATGATTGAGTACCTACTATGGTTTTGCCTTACACAGAGAAGTACTCGATAAATGTTTATGAGTAGACGAAAGAAAGAGTAGACCTTGTTATCTGGCTTTCTATTGATTACTATGGCCTGTGTGCCTCTGATATGATCATGACCAATATTTACATTGATGATCTTGGAAGACTACAGAATCCTTTAAGTGCCTTCTGGGTATTCCACTATTAAACTATAGATTCTAGTTCTTAGAAAATTTGTAATCCACAAATGATAGTCATTTTCATCATAAAATATCTGAACAATCAGAATGTTCTGTGTCCTGGAGAAACTGGGTAGGAAAGATTTTAATATACTTAGATGAAGTGTTAAATTTCCAGTTGTCTCCTTTCTACTTTTGATGACACAAACGCTTTAGGAGACTAACTATCCTCTGACCTCCTCATCTGAAACCCAGGAAAAGATTCACAATTAAAATTTAAAATAACCTTGAAAATGAAAACTTATCTAAGTACATCTGGGCTAAGAGAAATAAAGAAATATCTTAAATGACTCTTGGATATACAATTTTGCGTTTGTTTTGTTCTTATTTTATATTTTTAAAATGTCATAGGAATTTGAGTGTGCTGGAAATAATCATGTGCTACAAGGAGATATCAGCATTGTCTTGGCTGAATCCCACAGAGAAAGCAAGATAGAGACTGCAAGTGGTTATTTGGATACTGAGTCAAAAGCTGTTTTCTGAACATTAAGCTGGTCTCAATTTTCTGGTAGACAATTATTAGATACTGCTCTCTGGTTCCATTTCATTTTGCACGTGTGGATAGAGGTCAGCCTACCGATGTGGGGACAATGAAAACAGATAGCAGTGGTTAGAAGGAAGAGGCTAGCAATGATAGAAGGGCCAATGGTAGATTTGGAGGTCAAATGGGACTATTGCAACATGATGTTTTAGAAAACCAGTTGGTAGGTATATGCAAAAAGGAACATTCAGAAATTTGACATTATTTTCTGCAATGAATTTCACAGCTCTGTAATCATACTTCCTTAGTTTATATATATGAAATTTGATCATTAGACATTTCTGGATTAACAAATGCTAAATAATAAATGAAAGTAAAACAGTCAAAGGAAATTTCTAAAAGGTTTATCAGAAAAATCTTTGGAAGTATTCTTAAAATGATTTCTGTAATAGCACTTAATTACATTGCTTTCCTCTGAAAACAAGGGCTATTCTCAAAGAAAGTAGTCCACTCTCTCCAAAAGAAGGCCAAATGTGTATATGAATTTGAATTCTATTGGGTGTGAGAATGAATAGGATGCGTATTTTATACTTTGCTACATAATGAGGTTGAAGACAAGACAAAATTATAATTCCAGGGTATCCTGTTAGAAAGTAGCAAATAATTCTGATATCCAAACAAAAATGTATAGTGGAGCAGACATTAGCTTGTATCTCACCAGCTGGCTATGGAAGAACACTCCCCACTGTGGTTTGGTGTGTGAACAATGCTACACCCTTTGAACATTCATTCCTTTAGCAAATACTTCCTAACTGGTTTCTCTGTGTCTGGCACTGTGCTAGGTACCTGGGAGCAATACATATCTACTGTGGCCATTATATATGTTTGTACTGTTGCTGCTGTTAGTTGCCATTGAGTTGGCTTCAATTCATGGCATTTACGTAAAACAGAACGAAATGGTGCCTGGTCCTGTGCCACCTGTATGATTTTTGATATGTCTGAATCCATTGTTGTGACTATTGTGTAGTGCCTTCCAACCTAGGGGGCTCATCTTCCAGCACTAAATTGGACAATATTCTGTTGTGATCCATAGGATTTTTTTTTCTGTTTAGTTGTGCTTTAGGTGAAAGTTTACAGAGCAAATTAGTTTCTCATTCAAAAATTTATACACAAATTGTTTCGTGACATTGGTTACAATCCCTGCAATGGGTCAGCTCTCTCCCTCTTTCCACTGTGGGTTCCCTGTTTCCATTTGTTCAGTTTTCCTGTCCCTTCCTGCCGTCTTGTCTTTGCTTTTGGGCAGATGTTGCCCATTTGGTCTTGTATACTTGATTGATCTAAGAAGCATGTTCCTCAGGTATGTTATTGTTGGTTTTATATCTAATCTTTGGCTGAAAGGTGAACTTCGGGAGTGGCTTCAGTTTTGAGTTAGAAGGGTATCCGGGGTCCACAGTCTTGGGGGTTCCTCCAGTCTCTGTCAGACCAGTAAGTCTGGTCTCTTTTGTGAATTTGAGTTTTGTTCTACATTTTTCTCCTGCTCTGTCTGGGACTCTCTATTGTGACTCCTGTCAGAGTGGTCAGTGGTGGTAGTTTTTCTGGGCTCATCCTGGTGGAGGCTGTGGTTCATGTGATCCATTGGTCCTTTGGACTAATATTTCCTTGTGTCTTTGGTTTTCTTCATTCTCCTTTGCTCCAAACAGGATGGTACCAATAGATATATCTTAGATGGCCACTCGCAAGCTTTTAAGACTCCAGACACTACTCAACAAAGTAGGATATAGAACATTTTGTTTATGAATTATGTTATGCCAATTGACCTAGATGTCTTCTGAGATCATGGTCCCCAGCCCTCTGTCCCACTAACTCGGCCCCTCAAGGTGTTTGGATATGTCTAGGAAACTTCTATGGCTGTGCCCCCTTTGTGCTTTATTATATATATGAATATACATGCTGTACATACAAATATGTATGTAAAAATATCCACAGCCTAACCTATATATGTATGTGGGTATACTCCTATACCCCTCCTTCCGCTATTCAGTATATGTACCTGCCTGTGTATCTTCTTGTAAGTTATCATTTGTTTTTACTGTTGTTGTAGGGTTGTATATGCTATAGTATTTATTGTGGTTGCCTCTTTTTTTTTTGTTTCCTTGCATTCCTCTCAGTGTCTTCCTTTGCCTTGGTCATGTTGTGCTGACTTCCCTGATATTGTGTACTGTCTTTCCCTTCACCTAAGTTAACACTTGTCTACTATCCAGTTAGTGATTTCCCTCCCACCCCTCCTCCTCTTTTGTAACCATCAAAGACTGTTTACTTCTGTGTGTAAACATTTTCTTGGGTTTTTATAATAGGGGTCTCATACAATATTTATCCTTTTGTGACTGACTTATTTCACTCAGCATAATGCTCTGCATATTCATCTATGTTGTGAGATGTTTCTGGATTCATCATTGTTCTTTATCATTGCATAGTATTCCGTTGTATGTATGTACCATAATTTGTTTATCCATTCATCTGTTGATGGGCACTTAGGCTGTGTCCATCTTTTTGCTATTGTGAATAATGCTGCAATGAACATGGGTGTGATAGCTCTTATTTCTCTAGGATATATTCCTCCTTGTGGGGCTGCTGGATCATATGGTATTTCTATCTTTTTAAGGAAGCGTCATATTGTTTCCCATAGTGGTTATACCATTTTACATTCCCACCAGCAGTGTATGAAAGTTCTAATCTGCCCACAACTTAGGCAGCATTTACTGTTTTCTGAAATTTTGATCAGTGCCATTCTTGCCGGGGAGATGTTATTTCATCGTGGTTTTGATATGCATCTCTCTAATGGCCAAAGATCATGAGCATCTTTTCATGTATTTGGTAGCCGCCGGAATGTCCTCTTTGGTGAAGAAGTGTCTGTTCATGTCCTTTGCCCATTTTGTGATTGGTTGCTTGTCTTTTTGAGTTATTGAAGTTTTCTGTATATTTTAGAGATTAAACCTTTATCAGATATGCTGTTGCCAAAGATTTTTTTTTACCCAGTGTGTAGGTTCTCTTTTACTCTCTTGGTCTTTTGATGAGCATAAGTATTTATTTTTAAGGAGGTTCCAGTTATCTAGTTTATCTTCTGGAGTTTGTACATTTTTTAGTTACGCTTGATATTCTATTTATGTCATAAATTAGGGCTGCTAGCATTGTCCCTATGTTTTCCTTCATTAACTTTATAGTTTTAGGTTTCACATTTAGGTCTTTGATCCATTTTGAGTTAGGTTTTGTGTACGGGGCGAGGTATGGTTCCTGTTTCATTTTTCTGCAAATGGATATCCAGTTTTGCCAGCACCATTTGTTGAAGAGACTATCTCTTCCTCACTTAAGGGACTTTGACCCTTTGTTGAAGATTAGGCGTCCACAGGTGGATGGATTTATTTCTGGGTTCTGAATTCTGTTCCATTGGTCTATGTGTCCATTGTTGTACCAGTACCATGCTGTTTTGACTACCGTAGCTGTATAGGAGGTTCTGAGATCGGGTAGTTCTGAGATGGTTAAAGAATGTGTTGGAATTTGGATTGGCATTGCATTGGATCTATAGATCGCTTTAGGTAGTACTGACATTTTCACAATGTTAAGTCTTCCTATCCATGAGCATGGTATGTTTTTCCATTTATGAAAGTCTCTTGCAGTAGTGTTTTGGAGTTTTCTTTGTTTTAAGTCTTTTACGTCCCTAGTTAGGTTTATTCCTAAGTATTTTATCTTTTGGGGGGCTATTGTAAATGGTATTGTTTTCCTGATTTCCTTTTCAGAGTTCTCTTTGTTAGTGTATAGGAATCCAGCTGATTTTTGTATGTTGATCTTATATCCTGCCACTTTGCTCAGTCCTTCTGTTAATTCCAATAGCTTTCTTGTGGTTTCTCTAGGATTTTCTATGTATAGGATCATATCATCTGCGAATAGGGATAGATCCATATGGTCTTCATTGGAAGTAGATCACCAGGTCTTTCCTTCTAGTCTGTCTTAGTCTGGTAGTTCCATAGAAACCTGTCCACCATAGGCGAACCTGCTGGTATTCGAAATATTGGTGGCAAAGCTTCCAGCAATGAAGCAACATACAAGCCACCACGGCATGACAAATTGACAGCTGGGTGGTGGATATATGTTTACAGACATTAAATGTTTATTTTCTCCAAAAGCTGCTTTAAATGCATATCAATAAGTCCCCTTTTCTGTACAGTAAGAACAGGGACTTTTTTTGTTTGTAAAACTCCATATGATATGTTATTAATAAACAATGGGAGACATATCCTTTCAAGGACCAGAACCTTCAAGATCACTACTTAGTACAACACTTCCTATGTCAGAGTATCATAGTTTTTCTTATTTTTCAAAAATCAACTTTGGGTTTTTAATGTTATATAAGTGAATGTTTCAAAAAGTTAAATAGTTCTATGAGGCTTATAATGAAAAACAGCAGTCCCTGCCTCACTCCTGATTTCTGTGCCCTAAGAATAACCATTTGCAACTCTTTCAACCATTTCTTCTGTAACTTACCCACGTATTTCTAAATAACATGTTGACAATGCTATTTCTTGATTTTTTTTTTCAGTTGTAGACATTATTTACTGACTTTCTAGTATGGAAAATAGTCTCATATTATCCCTTTCTCTCCAGCTTTGTCTCTTTGTTTTTCTTTCTCATACACACACGTCTTCCCCCTGACATCCTCAATATAGTTATAATTTCAAGTTTTGGTTAACTCAATATCCAGCGTTCAAATTAGTATTGCTCATAGCTTATTACAGAGCCCTGGTAGTGTAGTGGTTAAGTGCTCAGCTGCTAACCAAAAGGTTGGCAATTCAAATCCACTAGCCGCTCCTTAGAAACTCTACGGGCAGTTCTACTCTGTCCTATAGGGTCGCTGTGAGTTGAAACTGACTCGATGGCACCTAACAATGTAGTAGATTACATTTCCATTCTTGTTTTCTCTCATTTTTTTCTACTTCCTTATTTGCTATTTCCCTATCTCTAGGCATGTGTAAACATTCTGTGAATGCTATAAACTCCCTTCAATGAAAACACAAATAGTCAAATACAGCAGGCAATCTATTACTACCAACTTATTTCTCTCAGAGGCACTCCTCCTGGAATGCTCCATTCTCTCACTATAGTACCAGTACCAGTTTCTGCCTGAGTCTATTCTGGCTCATGGTAACCCCATTGTGTCAGAGCAGAACTGTGCTCCATAGGGTTTTCAATGGCTGATTTTTTTTTTCAGAAGTATATCACCAGGCCTTTCTTCCAAGGCACCTCTGGGTGACCCTGAACCTCCAACGTTTCAGTTAGCAGTCGAGCGTGTTAACTGTTTATACCACCCAGGGACTCCTCTCCCACTATGCTTGGGACTGATTTCTCTCTAGGTCTGTGGCAAAGCTGTCATCTCAGAGTCACCATCATTCTGGACATCTTCTTCATCTCTTTCCTGGATCTCCAGGTTTATTCCTTTATTTTGACAGAACACATTCTCCAGTAGCTTCCTGAGAAACTGTATGGATCATAAATTTTTTGATATCCTGCATGCCTGAAAATACTTTTATTCTGCACTCATATTTGATTCATGACTTGATAGGTTATAAAATACTAGTTGGAAATCATTTTGCTCTCAGAATTTTGAAGTCCTTGCTCCATTATCTTCTAAGCTTTTAGTATTGCTGTTGAAAAGTCCTAGGCAAGGTCACTCTGATTCTGGGTCCATTATATTACAGTTTACATTAAGTAAACTACTTACTTAGTTATGATCTAGCAGCTTTAAGGACTTTCTCATTTCCTGGATACTGAAATTTCATGTTGATACGCCTTGCTGGGGGTCTTTTTTTTTTCCATTCACTATACAAGGTACTCAGTGAATCCTTTAAATCTGGGATTTCAAGACCTTCAGTTCTAAGAAATTTTCTTGTACTATTTCTTTGACAATTTCTCTTTTTCCTAAAACTCATGTTACTTAGATTTTAAATGACTTGGAATGATCCTTTCATATTCTTATCTGCTCCTTTTCTTTTTGTTTTACTTTCTGGGAGATTTCCTCATTTTTATCTTCCAACACTTCTATTACATTTTTTATTCTTGTCAATATATTTTTAATTTCCAAGTGTTCTTTCTTGGTTTCTGAATGCCTCCCCACATCTCTTTTTTTTAAATAGTCACTTATCCTTCTTTTAAAGGACAGTGGTGGCTTAGTGGTAGAATTCTTGCCTTCCATGGAGGAGACCCAGGTTGAATTCCCAGCCAATGCAGTTTATGCACAGTCACCACAAGTCTGTCAGTGGAGGCTTGTGTGTTCCTAAGATGCTGAAAAGGTTCCAGAGGAGCTTCCAGACTAAGATGGGCTAGGAAGAAAGGCCTGGCAATCTACATGTGAAAATCAGCCAATGAAAACCCTAGGGATTACAATGGTCTGATCCCATTGTGCATGGCAGCTAACAACAATAACAACCTTCTTCTTTTATGGAAACAATTTTTCTAATCTTTCTGAAGTTATTATGGTTTTATATTGATTTTTTAAATTATCTTTTGCTTTTTGCTATCACTGTTTCCTCTAAAGTCCTTTCTTTCTGTCTGTTTAGGTCTCCTTCATATACTAATATGGATTTCCACAGTCTCTGGTATAGGTGAGCTTATCGACTGCTGGGCTTCACTTAGGGTAGTTAGGTAGAGAGCTTTTTTATGGCACTCCAAATGTTAGTACCTATAGACCTTTTCTTTCTGGCCATTCAGTTTCTCCAAAGACAAATCCTTCAATCTCTTGCCTAGGGGCATAAGCAAGGCTGCCAGCATTTTGGGAAGAGTAGGAGTAGGAGGATTCTGGTAAGGGTGGGGTCCTCACAATTCAGTAGGAAAACATTCATATCATCCTCATCATCAGATTGGCCTCCTGTCCCTGCTCTTGGCTGTGCTGAACTTTCATCTTCTGTTGCATTAGGGGAAGGTCTGACTGCTCAGGGGGAACTGGGTTCTGTAGGACTTGCTGCTCATCAACTCTCCAACAATCTTCCTGCTCTCCTTCGCACCCCCCAGCTCCATCTCGGATATACCAGGGGCTTCAGATCATGGGCCTTGCTGGATTCTCTTGAGTGACTGGATGGATTTTTATGATTTCTCTTACTGTAGACTTAGAATTTGGCATTTCCTGGCATGCCAAGTCTGTCTCCAATCATCCAAGTACTCCTGTTCAATTTTGTTGACACATCTTGTTTGCTGTCCTTCTCTTTTCCTGGTCCCTTTGTCCTTGTGGGTTTAGGGCATTTTTATTCCTTTATTGTCATTCTAATGGGTCTTTGGGAAGGAGTGAATATAAATCTTCAAACTGTGATCCAATAACTTCATTCTGAATGCATTCTTTTCACCTCAGTCTGACTTGTTTGGAAATAATGCAAACAAACTTAAGGTCCAGCAATGTTTTATATTGGTCACAGACATATCATGAGTATCTGATAGAAAAGTTGGAATGAAACTTAACTGAATAATTCTGATGAAGTGAACAGACCAAACTTAAAATTCCATGACTTTAGACTTACCAACTTTGTAATGTATACAGCCTTCCAAGTCCCCGACAGTGATCCAGCCTTGTTTCTTTTCCACTTCTGGGTCATTGTGTAATATTCTGTTTCTTAACCATGAAAGATAGTAAACTCGTAGCTTATTCTTCTTTCCTGTTGAAAGAAAAGAGCTTTAGTTTCAAGCTCCCTGGGATAGTTTTTTCTCTCTCCTTCCTCATCTCCATTTAATTAATTAATTGATTGGTTTAAAAAACTTTTTTTTTTTTTTTTAGCCTGAAGGCATAATAACCACAAGTTGTTATCTTTGCCAGGACTAACGGTTAAAACAGCTCTAAGTATTTTGGACAAATCATTGCTTCATGATTTGTTCTCTACACTCAGGTGGTTTCTTATTTGAGTGTTGTTCTTGTGTGTCGTCAAGCAGACACTGACTCGCGGTGATCCTACAGAACACAGTACAACTGCCCCATAGGGTTTCCTAAGCTGTAATCTTTATGGAAGCAGACCACCAGGTCTTTTCTGCCGAGGAGTGGCTAGTGTGTTTGAACCACTGACCTTCTGGTTAGCAGCCTAGTGCTTAACCATTGCACCACCAGGGTTCCTTCTTATTTGAGTAAGGTGCTCTTATTCTCTCTTCCTAGGGCAAAGGGTGGCATTTGCTGAACTCAGTACGACCTAACTCTGCAACAGAGTAGTTGACCAGAGTTCCAGGATATTCAAAATCTCCTTACATGAAGGAGTGCTGACAACTGGACATTTCAGCATACACTTATATGTGACTGCCTTTTCCTCACCCTCTAACCCGACAGCAGATGTTAACAGAGAGCTACTTATTGCCCTCCTCTATTACTTTAAAGATGGTAGCTGGCAGTAGTTTTATTTTACTTAACAGAGAAAGGAATTTAAAAAGGAGACAAGAGAAACAAGTTCAATGCAGTGATGCAGGTTCAGAAAACACTGGACAAGTTTCGGGTGTTGAGTTCCATTGAAAGGAAAGTAAAACAAAAATAGGAAAGGAAAGAGGATATGTACTTGGAAAAAAAGTTAAACGTTCCCTTTGGTAAAGTGGTTCTGGAGTAAAGAATTCATAGGATGATAAGGAGACATCTAGACTATATTGAAGAATACACAGGGAACATTTAAATATTCCATTAAATTATCTGCGTACCAGACAAGAAAAGTATGAGTGATGTCCATTGGGGCAGCTCTTCCTAAGTTATCAGAAATTTTAAGGCTGTAGGTTTTATTTTTCTTTGATTTGTCTCAGGCCTCAAAAGCTGCTTTATGTTTTATAGATGAGATATATACTAGAAGAAGAGAATTCACGAAAGCATCGCACACTGGATTTGACATGAGAGTGCATTCACAAATTAAGGGAATCACTGTGCAGTTACTATTCACTTTTAAAGTAACCAAAGGCCTAGAATATGCATTGATCACAATAGCTGGGACAGGCAGGAGGGCCACTGCTTCCTCCTTTCTATGCCCACAGAGGACAGTTCAAGAATCCTTTGCTCCTATTTCATTTTCTCCTTTCCCATCTGTGCCTCATGATAGGAGGAAATGGTTGCACTCTTAAGAATAGGGACATGTCGCTAACAACAAAATGAAGCTGAACGTGACTTTTCAGGTAGTGCTTTCACTTTGGGGAGGTGACTGGCAGATCCGTGTCTTTAATTCTGATTTGGTAGTGTAGCAATCAAGAAAGCAACTAACCAGAACAAAGGATAAGACAGAATTAAACTCAAACAATAATGCAGGTAGAGTTTACTTGGTTAACCCTCAGTTGGAAAGAATAAAAATAGATGAAGCTCTGAGCATTCAACAGGAAGGTAAAGGAAGAGGAAACTGTCTTGCCAAGGGAAGGCATCTTCCTCAAAACAGAAGTACAGCTGGAGAGCTGAACTTCCTTCAAAGTTCAATCCTGCAGCCCTCTGTTGGCTCTCTGCGAAACAATGGCCGACTATGGAGTCATGGTTCTCAGTCTGGGCTGCACTTTGGAAACATCCTGGTAGCTAACGAAGCTATCGATGCCTGGGTGCCACCCTGAGAGTCTGACCCACTGTTCTGGGATACAGCCTGGATTTTCACATCTCCATAAACTAGGAAGAAAGGTCTGGTAGTCTATTTCTGAAAATCAGCCAAAGAAAACCCCATGGATCACAATGGACTATTTGCAACCGGTCACAGGACAGGTGCAGGAACGGGCAGTGTTCCATGGTGCATGCCGTCTCCATGAGCTGAGGGTCAACTGGACGGCAGCTAACAACACCAACCAGGTGGTAATGTGTAGTCGGTACAGCTGAATTCACACTGGATGAGACAGGTGGGGAAGACAGAGGTGTTGTTAAACACCTTCAAACACATCAGAAAGACAGAAAAAAAAAAAACTTTCTTTTAATAGTCATTAACTTTTCAGGTCACATTTTCAACTTGCCAATAATAAGGCCTTCACTTTCATCTCCATCTTTTTTTTTTTTTTAAAGCTCTTTTTGGGAACCAGAAAGCAGCAGAGTGTAGCAGTAACGACGACTCTCACACTCAAATCTCTGTAGAGATTGCCAGCTGAAGTTGCCAGAACATCAGTGGACTACAAGTAAGAGCAGTTCTTGCGAGAAAAAAGACCAGAGAAATTTCTGCTTACAATAGTCCCCATTCCCAGAGGCCTAGATTTTTATTTCTCCAGCGGAGAGTAGATAGCAATGACTGGAGCTCTGACACCTTAAACAGATCCTTGCAGAGTTCTGGCAGAGGTTAAAGGCCTATAAATATACTGCCTTTGTGCTTCTGTCTCTGCCCAATTTAAATTTAATGCAGAGGTGAGACTTTCCTTTGGAAGTCAGAGTCTCTGTGTTACAAAATGTGGGTGATCTTGCCCCGGCTACATTGCTACAATTTATTGCATTGCTTGTTAGCTGGGGAGGGCAGAACTCGCTGTTTCTTCAGAAACCAGGCAATCACCTTTCCCACCTGTGGAGACCTAGAGGCCTCAGTCATCCTAGTGACTTACCTGATATTGTCACAAGGACATTCAGTCCCTCTAGCACATCCATCTGCTGAAATCGCCTTCGGTTGATCAGATTATAGACTTTGCCTTGCCCACTTCGGTCCAAAAGCATCAGGCCATTTTCAGTTCCTACCAGGAGGTTTACACCTGCAAATTTAAGAAGTACCCCAAGAATGACTTTTTATAAGCTTTAATCTTCTGCATCTTGGGTTCCCATAAAACCTAAGGAGTTGCTCTGTAAACGTAAATTAATGGGCAAACAGGCACTACAGAAGCGAATAGAGAAGAGAAGCTCTGATACAGTAATTAAATCACTGTCCCTCTGGTAATGAAATTTTACTGTTTTCTTTTATAAACTGGTAGCAGCATTCATTACATCTAGCCATTTACTACCAAGGATAGAGAGTCCTTCTCAAGAGGAGCCTTAGGCGCAATTGTGAAGCTAGCCCAATTTGCCTTTATTCCTTTCCTCCAACAACCACCTGTTTCTTGTCTCTCTATAAATACCATCCCTATCCCTCCCCAAGATTCACCCTGATCCCTATTCACGCAGTGAGTTCTAGCCCACCCCTCCTTCAACATACAATAGAGTTCCCCATTTCCATACCCCACTGGAAGAAAATCCGTTCCTCCTCCTCACACGTCCCATACCCTCAAGGTTCTGCTCTCTGATAGGGAACTAATAAACCAATCTAAGTGGAAGTTTAATAGCCTGAGAATCATAGAAATAGTGACTGTAAGGGACTCCTCAGATATCTAAATCTAGTCCAGCCTGCCTCCCAGTGCAGTAATCCCCATTACAAAAGCTCTGGCAGTAAGTGGTCTTGTCTGGATAGCTACAATCCTAAAAAGTTCATCTTTAGGAAATTACACACACACACACACACACACACACAAGAGGTACACTGTGCAATGGACCGTATTAATGAATATGGACTTTCTAGCTTCTCTTGCTTGTAATACTTCTACCTTCTGTACCACATGAATATGTCAACACCCTCGTCCACTTGTCAACTCTTTAGATATTTAAAGATGGCTATCTTGTCTTCTTCTTTCCAACTGTCTTTCTCCAGAGGAAAAAGTCTCAGGCCTCTCCATCACACCTCACATGAAATGGTTTCCAGGCTTCTCACTTTTCCCTGCTTACCTCCCAAATGCTCCTGCCCCTTTAAAATTGTAGTGCATAGCATGTTAGATGGGTACAGAAGGGCCATGTCCTTCCTTGATCTGTATGTGGCGTTTATGGTAACACAGACTGCGACTCTGAGTCACATCACACCTAGACAGAGTTTGGGGTCAGCTAAAACCTGCAGATCTGTTTTACAAGAACTGCAGATGTAACTGATGTTTTCAGCTAAACGTAAGGCTCATCATCTGTTGTATTTTCCAAGTTGATCATGCTACCACTAGTTGCGAGGCTTGGGGTAATTCACATAAATATGCTCAGCTGGTTTTTCAGCTGTGAAATGGAAGCAATACCTTTACTCCCTGTGCAGGGTGCTGAGTGGTCACAGAGACAGGATGGGGGGCACATCACACAGTGGGTATGTGTAAGTGGTAGCTAGTTCTGTTGTTGGGCTTTAGCCCGTCACTGTTATGTGACAAGGTGGTTCTGAATCTGATCCCATTGCCCTGGGTAGCAGGGTATTAGCTCTTTCTACATATAAAACTGCTCTTGGTCTCGCCTGAGGCCACAAGAGTCCCAGGTCAGGTATCTAACACCCGTGATGCAGCCAGTGCTCTTCTGATGGTAAGATCCACAGGCTTTTAACGTTCGAGGGGTGGTTCATTAAACAGTAGTAAAAAGCACCGACTTACCCCACAGAGCTGCACAAAGGATTTCTGAGTTGAATCGTTTCTTATATTTTCTGATTTCTGGTGTGTCGCTATGAGGCCGAATGTTGGTTGGGTTTACATTTACCACTGAAATCTTTCTTGCTTCATTGAGTTTGGCCTGTTCTTGCCTAAGAAGTTCGCTAGTAAACAGAGCTTTGAGAAAAAGAATCAGAGAAGTCAGTGGCATCTTAAAAGCTGACCAGTGGAGATGTAGAGAAAGGGTTTCAAAACACTGGGATTTCTCCATGTTTAGTATGCTTTACAGTAAAGGCAGAGAAACTGGGAATGTATCTGTATTTTCTACTTTTTTTTTAGTAGTAAATTGTAAGTCATTCATAGAAGCACTATTTTATCCATTAGCAAAAAAGGCTTACAGATACTATTTGGGTGGTTTAGAAGATTGATACTAATCTTACAAAATTAAACACACCATCCCCACCTCCTATAATGTATGAAGGAAAGATTGACTTCCTAAAATCCCACATTATCACTTGACACATTGGCCTAAGGTGACTTTGATGATTAGTGAGTTGCAGAAGTCTAGAAAGCAAAATGCTCTTCTACATCAGTCAGACCTTCGTGGTGGGAAGTACACACCTAGAATTCAACACAGGGCAACAAGCACTTATGGAGTGCCTACTGCATGCAAAGCATTGTACCCAGAAACTGCTTTTGAGAAATATGTGGTAAATTCAGAGATCTCTGAGAACAGCTTTTTCTAGGGTTCCTGGATACTTCTGGGCTCCTACCAGAAGCAAAATAGAAGAGACGGGGAAAAAAAAGGAAGGAAAGAAATTTGTCTGAGGACTCCTACAAAAATAATGATAATAAAAAACTTCCAGGTAAGACGGGCCTAAGCAGTAAATGGCTTCAACGACTGAACCAATGATTGATTTCCTTATCAGGCCACACAGAAAGTGAAACCAAGCTATTTCTAAAACACCTTCTAGCTTACCTGCTGCTGCCGATTCTTCATCCTCTTCATCTTCATCGGTAGGAGACGTCTGGTATACTCTGGGATCCACAAAGGGGGTAAAGGAGGCTTTGGTGCTGCTCCCCATGCCATACTGATCAAAAAGCAAGAGAAGATTCAGAAGAGAAGATGAATAAATACTGCAGGAGCAAATAATGCTAACAATACTTTGCTCAGGCTTTAAAATGATTACAGACTCTTCAATGTATCCAGCTGTTCACACTCTAATCTCCTGGTCAAAGTGCCCGCCTCTCTCTCCAGCATCTCCTGGTATTGTTACTCACTGGCCACTGTGCATTTCAGGGGTTTCATTAATTATCAGACTGCAGGAGGTACACTGAGCTAATTTCATTTGGAACCATATATGGTACCTAAATATCTCTAAGATCACTGTGGTGACAGAGCATCTCTCTTTCTTTAAGTAAAAGCAATCTTACTGACACAATTGGCAATGGACTAAGTGAGCATGTATACACAGCAGCACTATATCCTGAACACACTCACCCCAGGAGGCTCCCTCTTGGGGCCTTTGGGATCTTCCACTCTGGCCTGGTGATGAAGGTGGATTGGTGTTGGCTAAAAAAGCCTTAATATCTTCAATTCAGGGATGATTTCATCCAGGGACTGCAGAATTTTCCTTCCTATGATAGTTTCCTTAAAGTGATACTTATATCTACATGCCTTATATAGAGACTTCATGAAGATATTAGGTTTGAGGGCAATGCATTTTTTCAACTGTTGGCCTTGAAATCTCTATACCAAACCAAACCCGTTGCCATTGAATCGATTCCAACTCATAGTGACTCTATAGGACAGAGTAGAACTGCCCCATGGGGTTTCCAAGGAGTGCTGGTGGATGTGAACTGCCAGCCTTTTGGTTAGCAGACGAGCTCTTTAATGAGTGTGCCAGGGCCCCAATCTCTATAGGCTGAAGTTTTCATCACTGGCCTGGGAGATAGGAGGTCCCAGTTCTGGTCCTAGCTCTGCCACAAACCAGCTGTGAGCCTTGGTTTGAGTCACTTAGTCTCTCTGAGCCTCAGTATTCTTATCTCTAAAAATAGGTATTGGTCTGGATGTTATTTGAGAACTTTTCACTGCTCTGATTCTATGATTTCCTCCATTTTGAGTATCTGCATCAATAAAACCAACCAAACACATTTCAGGGAGCTTGGCAAAGCCTCAGTTTTGCAGAAAGCAGGGTTCCTGAACCCCAGAAGGAGGACAGAACTGTTGCACCTGCTGCCCAGCACCTACTTCGGTCCCGGAGTCCATCTCCTGGGTATGGGTGGAAACACGCCCCAGGCCCTCGGTTGGGGTTCCAGCTGGAGAATGGCTCTGCTGCACCAGGTCTGGGAGGTTGATGTGTCCGGCGAAACCATTGCTGTCACTGTGGCCAGATCGCTTCTTTTCTCCGGATGTCTGCAGGGCACAACAACAGGGAGCATTAGAGTGGAGCGCAAAGGCCACAGAGCAACATGCCCCTCACATACAAAGGCACTGTGGTAAATGGGCCCACTGGGGTATGGGAGGTAACACTCAAATTTCGACTTTACCTAAGAAAATAAAAAAGAAATAACATTTTTACAAATATTTAGTATACAAATTGACCCTGAGGCCTTATGCTTCTGTGTGAGGGACACTCAGGGGTCACATATGGTGTGTGGGTCCCCTATGGGGAAATGGAAATCCCACAAGGTGGAGGGCCTGAGTGGGATCTGTGTTTCTCAGCACCTCTTTGGTTGTGTGTATGTGTGTGTGTATGTGTACCAGATAACTGGATGTGCAGATCATATTACCAGGTTACAATTAAATAAACCCACAACATAGATTTAAGACTTAAGATACTGCTGGAAAGAAGTGGGGTGAGATAATACTAATAATCCACCTACACGTGTACTACAAGAAAATGGCAGGGATGGTACTTACCCAACTCATTGGACTTTTTGTCAATCTTTAGGTCAAAACAATGAGTAATCAGATCTGACATGAGTTACCAAAAAATATTGAAACAATGAAGAAGGTTATTTGAAAATATGGATTTACATCCGCTCTCTTGAATTTCAACGTCACTGATGTTAAATCATTCAATAAGTAAACATTGTGCCTTGTGATAGTAACCATGAAGTCATCATGACTAGCAAAGCATTTGAAATACTGTTTATATCCCTTTTTAGTGTCTTTTATTAGGTACTTTGGAGTCCCTGGGTGTGACGAATGGTTAAGTGCTTGGCTACTAACAGGAAGGTTGGCGGTTCAAACCCACCCAGGAACACTTCAGAAGAAAGGCCTGGTGATCTGCTTCCAAAAGATCACAGCTATGAAAACTCTGTGGAGCAGTTCTACTCTGAAACACATGAGGTCACCACGGGCTGGAGTCGACTCGACGGCAACTGGTTTGGTTTTCTTTTTGTTTTAAAGGTATTTTATAATGCATATAATGTTCGCACGGGAGGGCAAATGTATGATTTGTAAATAAATAAATACACTGTTTTTTGTGACATGCTCTATGATTTTTACTGAGAGGGTTGTGTGACCTAACAAGTTTGGAAACCGCTGCTCTGCAGAACACAGCCTCACCCCAGAAATCCTAGGGAAGAAAGACAGGATCACTGGACATCTCTGGTCCTTGTAAGCCAACGTCCACACTGTAGACCTCATTAGTGCTGCACTTTCTGAATAGTATTTACGTAGCAGGTTCCTTGAGGTTTCTCAGAGCAGACCTGATTCCTCCCTCTGCCTTTTCTTTCTTTCATTTATTCACCCAACATTTCTGAGCGCCTACAAAGTGTGCAGCATTTTGCTAAACATCTCACGATCATCAGTGAGGCCGTGGCAGATGTACCTCTGCCTTCACTGGCACTGGTGGGGGCAGGGGTCTGTGCCCTTTTTTACCCATCTCATCAGCCTGGCTTCTTCCTTCTGGAGCCTGTCTTGGCCTTGCTATGGCAGCTCTGCACCTGTCTCTGGCCAGAAGCGAAAGGAGGCCCTTGAGAGAGAAAACAGGCTCTCACATTTCTGAAAGGGTGCAGGTAATTGATGCTACCAGGAAGATTGAGAAAGAATTGGAAAGCTTTAGTGTCCTCTCTGTTTCTTGGCAACACGCTCCTGGACTATACACTGTGTGGGAGGGATGTTCTCTGGATTCATTTTGCCACAGTGCTCATGCCTATTCTCACAGTTGAACATTTCATCTTCTAAATTACATTTAGGGAGCTCAGTCCTAATTTATCTTGTTATCCCCTATTTTCTGTGTACCTGGCAGCTTCTCCTTCCAACTTGTGTTCAAATATTGAAAAGCTTTTTAACATTTACCCCGACCTCCCAGTAGCATAAATCACACATTGCCGCTTTAGAATTTTGCACTCTAACTCTCTTTTATCAGCAGCGTTCTGCCTCAAGCCGAAAACTGGTACACACGTACTGGTCATGAAGAGAAACGTGAACGGGCTAACGAAGGGGAACGGCCCGGACGGAGAGAAGCCTGTGGGAATCCTGCAATGACCCCGCAATCTGCCCACTTCTGAGGTATCACCCTTTTGTTCATTTACCCAGTGCCTTCTTATTAAACACCTGCTTTGTGCCAGGCACTCTGCTGGGGCCACAAAGGTACATAAGCAATAGCCCCTGGCCCTCAAGGAACTGGTTAAAAGGCCCCCAACAATTTATCTATGATCTTCAGGCTCTTCACCATCCTCCTGGAGTGGACGCTGAAGCACCGACACTGTGCTTACACTTTATTTACGCAGTAATACCGTGGGCTAGCTTCCACTGTCCCCATCTTACAGATGAAAAAACTGCAATATAAAGAATTTAATTAACTTGGAGGTACTTCACGGAAGGAACCCAGTGACACAGGCTGTAAGTAGTGAAATCAGGATTTGAATCCAGGCTATCTGGCGCCAGATCCCAGGTGCCCTGTTTATACTAGGTGGTTCCGCTCTCTAGCCACAGTCAGGACCGCCTGAGCCAAGTGGGATCAGATTCCCACTGGAATTTCATATTAGGACTGAGAGATACTAGTTTGTCTCTGTCAGGCAGCTGAACGGGGATGAGGTGAGTATCTTGCAATGGAAGCGGGGGGGACCAAGAGCATGTGCATGTGAAGAAGAGAAAGCTGGTCTTCAGAAAGAGAGAAGAAGAAAGGAGAAATGTGGAGGAAAGCAGAGATGAGGGTAGGGTGCAATGGACAGCGAGAAAGCCAGAGACATGCCTAAGAGAAGTCGCCAGAGCGCCTGTCCACTTTTTAGCTCTGGGTCCAGTCCTGTAGGAGGGCCCAATTCACTGGGTTCTTTACAAGAAATACCTCCAAATCTTAACTTCCTTACCCTCCCCCTTACTTTTTTTTTTTTTTTTTTTGCTTAAGTGTCTTCCTTTCCCCTCTTCCCCCCTCCCATTATTTGTAACCAAAAGAGCCTTCATGATGACAAGTTAGTGCCCTGGCTCAGGGTCGAGTAGACAGACACCACACAGATACCAGCTAGTCAGCAAGGAAAGTGCTCTGGACAGAGGCCCATGGGGTCCCAGCAAAGGCTTCAAGTAGGAAGGGAAGGCTGAGTGGGACCCACAGGGGTCTGCTGGGTGAAGAATGGGCAGATGCTGGGGAAGGGAGGATAGCTTTTCCGGCAGACAGGCCCCCGTGAGCATAGTGTTGGATGAGAGCTGGCATGGTGCGTTCTGAAGCTAGAGTAAGGAAAGATCCTATGGGGCTGTAGAAGAGGGAAAGCTGTAACCACGTGTGCAGAGGTGTGTACTACCAGGGGGAATTCAAGTGGCTACCACACACAAAGTCCCTGGGTGGTGCAACTGGTTAAGTGCTCGACTACTCGCCAAAAGGTTAGTGGTTCGAACCTACCCAGAAGCACCTTGGGAGATAGGCCTGGTGATCTGCTTCTGAAAGGTGACAGCCTTGAAAATCCTATGGAGCACAGTTCTGCCCTGCACAAATGGGGTGACCATAAGTTGGAACTGACCTGATGGCAACTAACAACTATGCCCAATATTATGGGTAGTAGATCCAGTATGTTCTGCAAGAACTATCTAGTCTACTAACATGAGAATAACAAGTTGAGTGAGTTCTCCTTAATGTTCATCTTGGGGAACTGAACTAATAGCACCATACAAGCCAATCCTATTGTAAGGAGTTTTTACTTTATTTTCTTATTTTTTTAGGTACATACTTTATCCTGAGTTTATCTTGATGAAGCAGGTGCTATCAACAGATTTCAACTCAAGGTTTGTTATTTTAAAAGTCCACATTTAGGAAAGGTAGAATTTGGAAACTCAGAAGACAAAAAAATTTTTGGTCCCTCAACAAATTAAATTCATATGAGACACTGGTGAATGCTATTTCCAAAGTGACTGGCTGTGGTCTTACAATACTGGAGTGTTTTAAATAGTATGGCACCATTCAGATGTGGCTGGCAACAGAACTGAAAATGTGGATCCAACGGACTCCGTCATAGAGACTCAAGCAAATTTTATTTAAATCACACTAGAAATTGTAGCCCTTTTATTTGGAGTCAGAAAGCAACTCAGTCCAGAACATTCTCGCTCATGTTTTCCCAGGTGGCAAGCTATAGTGATAGAAACCTTCCATACTTCCACTGAAATTATCCATCCACCACAATGAGAGATTTATATACCAGCACTATACAATGTCAGCTTTGCAGCCAAGTCTGTTTTTCATTTTGAACATACATAAACGGATTCTTAAAGCCTACTTGAAAGATTCTACAAGGACATGAAATGAAATTCTAGCAAGTTGCTCTGTGAACCAGTCTTCTAGTTATAGCCCCACTGCCAATTATTACTTCCAAGGCCTTATTCATTTCAAAACTGCAGTTCCTTTCTTTCTTACAAAAATGAGATAACCCTCTTCTCTTTTTGGATAGCAAAGCTTACTATTAGGGTTTCCCAACTCTATTCTGGCTGAGGAAGAAGAATGGGAGATGATGTCTGTCTACATTTCAGAGGGAAGAGTGGGGAGCACTCAAGTAAAAGGAGAACTCAACACTTTGGAGAGAGTGAGAGAAAACAAAATAGTTAACACGGACTGAATGTTAACATGTATTCATTCATTTGATCCTCCCAGCTGTCCTATGACTTATACACTGTTCTCATGAAATTTTATAGACGAGAAAATGGACGCAGGGAGAGGTGAAGTAGCCATTGCCCAATGTTACCAACCATCGCTTTCCGTAAAAGTAAAAACCTGCTCCTGAACTTGCATGGTGGCAATGAAGTAAAAAAGAAGAAAAGATGGATTCTAATTTGTCAAGGAACTTCTGGTTAACAGACACAGTAGGGAATTGCTACATATTGGAAGGATGGCTAAAAGGGAACATGTGGTCCTCTCAAACCAAATGATGTTCCTCAGGTTTAAAAAAACAAAATCCTCCAAACTGCTAAGGTGCATTTTTAAGTACATCTTCTTATCTCTTTGTTCTTCTACCAAAATAGCTTAATGACTTAATTAGAGAAGATAATATCACCATGTCTTGGAACTACTGAGCATTTTCTACATAAAATACACAAAGATAAAACCATGGCAGGAGGAGGCAGAACAAGGCCACTGATGCTATTCAGAGACCATTCATTTCTCTTTTCCTGTTGTAGGAAACATCTGCGTTTGCCAGTTTTATAGCCTGAGGCCCGAATTCTGTATTCCGGTTTGCATAGCTCCTACTGAAGAATTTGGACTAATATAATTAAGTCACTCTACAAAAGCTTAGAAGGATGCAGGAAAGGGGCGGACAATTAAAATCACTCAACCATCTAGAAGCACAGGTTCTCCCCCTCTTCATTCCCCATGCTTAAAATACATGCTGTAAGCATTCTGTGAAAAAACTAACGTAAAAACCACTTAAGAAATGCACTTCTTCTATACAGTTTTTATACCAACTTACCTCTCTTATCATCAAGGTTCCTTCTCTTGAAATACTGGTGCTGAAAGTGTCGGCGTGGGAGGTCTCCAGCCCGTGCGTCCCGACCATCCCCACATTGTACTGCTCGTTGCTCCCAGGAGCTCCCGTTGGTCTGAGATTGGAAGAAATAGTATTCATGATGATGTCTGTTTAGGGAATACCTGTTTCCTGTCCATATTAATTTTTTTGTGGTAAAAATTTATATAATAAAACATTTGCCAATCAACATTTTTTACGTGTACAATTCAGAGACATTGATAATGTTCATCATGTTGTGCGACCATCATCGCTGTTTCCAAATTATTTCACCACCATTAGCAGAATCTCAATGCTCCCTAAGCAAGGACTCCCCCTTTCCCCTTCCTTGGTAACCAGGAGACCCCCGGTAAAATGGATTGGCAGAATAGCCAAAACGATGGGCTCAACTGTGAGGATGACACAGGACTGGGTAATGTTTTGTTCTGTTGAGCATAAGGTCCTAATGAGTTTGAGTTCACTTGATGGCACCTATCTACCTCCCTATTTATCTACTTACCTACCTAAGTGGGATCAAATGTCCCATATCTGCCCCATCCCCACTTGACCACTGTCCACTCAGCAGCCAGAGTGAGCTGACTTTCTGCTCTCCATGCAAAAAAAATGCTGAAGTCAGTGTCAGGATCCACCAAGCTCTGCATGATCTGGTCCCCTCCTTCTTTTCTTTGACCACCAGACACCCCGATCTTTTCCCTCTGCCTGGGAAGCTCTCTCCCACACTGGCTCTTGGCTGGCTGCTTTTCATTCCTCTGGTTTCCTCTTAAGTGCTACTTTCCCCCAAGAAGCCGTCCCTCACCATCTATCTATGTATTATCCCACCAGACCCTCCTCTTCTTTCTCTTCACCCTGTTTCCTGAATTGCTCTCATCAGAATTTGTAATTCTTTATCTTTTTTATTCTCTTTTACTTTCTCCCTTTCTCACTGGAACATATGCTTGTGAGAGCAGTGTCCTTGCCTCTCTGTTTGCCACTGTACACCCAGTACCCAGTACAGAGATGGGCACACAGTAGGAGCTCAAAAGTTAATCATTAGATAAACAGGGTTTCCACTATTTATGAGGAAGAAATATCAATTAAGGGCATTCTGGTTTACTGGGGCATCCATCAACTGGGCTGTTTAGCTCAAACAATATTCAGTAGTTTTTTAAACCTCTGTAATGACCCCAACCACCATCCATCCGTCAATTTGTTGTACTATGGTGGCTTGTGTGTTGCTGTGATGCTGGAAGCGATGCCACGGTACTTCAAATAATAGCAGGCTCATCCATGGTGGACAGGTTTCAGCAGAGCTTCCAGACTAAGACAGATTAGAAAGAAAGGTCTGGAGATCTACTTCCAAAAATTAGCCAATGAAAACTTTATGGATTACAACAGAAGACTGTCTGACTTACTTGCTGTGGACATGGCAACAAGAGGGATCAATCGCTGGAAGAGGGCATCATGTTTGGTGAAGCAGAGGGCCAGCAATGGCAAGGCAGACCCTCAGTAAGATGAACTGGCACAATACCCACAACAATGAACTCAAACATGCCAGTGATGGTGAGGATGATGCAGGACAGGGCAATGTTTCGTTCTGTTGTATATAAGGTCACCATGAGTCAGAGTTGACTCGATAGCAGCTATCTATCTATCTAATGATCCCACACTGTGGTACATTTACTTCCAGTTTGTTTTTTGCTCTTGTGTTTAAGATATAATGGGACCCTTGTGCATTGCTGGTGGGAATGTAAAATGGTGTATCCACTGTGGAAAATAGTTTGAAGGTTCCTACAAAAGTTAAACATATAATTACCGTATGAACCAGCAATTCTACTCCTAGGTATGTACTTAAAAGAACTGCAAGCAGGGACTCAAACAGATACGTGTGCATACACGTCCATATCAGCATTATTCACAACAGCCAAAAGGTAGAAAAGACCCAAATGTCCATCAACAGATGACTGGATGAACAGTATGGGATATACATATGGAATATTATTCAGCCATAAAATAATGAGGGTCTAATACACGCTACAGCATGGATGAACCTTGAAAACATTATGCTAAGTGAAATACATCAAACGCAAAGTGAGAAATATTATATGATTCCACTTATATGAAATAGCTGTAACAGGCAAACACAGACAGACAGGAAGGAGATTAGAGGTTACCAGGGGCTGAGGAGGGGAGGGGGAGTGAGGAGTTAATGCTTAATGGGTACAGAGTTTCCACTTAGGGTGATGAAAACATTTTGGAAATAGTTGATGGTTGTACCACATCATGAATGTAATTAATGGCACTGAATTATACATCTAAAAAAGGCTAAAGTGGCAAATTTTACATTATATATATTTTCCCACAATAAAATTTTTAAAAATGAAAAAAAAAAAAACAAAAAACAAAAAGGCAAAAACCAAAATGATACAATGGGAGAAGGTAAGAGGATCTTGGCACAGCCCAATAGCATGGACCTACTGTTTTCTGTGTGACCTGTGCACACAGCATCAGGGCTCAAAAAGTCATAAATGACTTCCCATAATGAGCTTCACGATGACTATCAGGTGAAACGTCTTATTTGCATGACAGAGAACTTCTACTTAAGAACTCAAGGATATTGATAACAAGACAGGTCCTGTGGCTCACCCACAGGTGCAGGCTTGATACAAGGTGGCTTCAGAAAGAGGGAGTAGTTGTTAGTGTAGTACTGATTAATATCCTACTTTCCCAGCTGTCTCCCTTTTCAAGTGGGTTTTGTAAAAGCAGAAAAGGTACCAGGGCCTGTTTTTCTTGTTAGGTGCATTAATTACATCCCTTAGCATTTGTTCTGCTATTTTTAATTGTTTCTTGTATATTTAAAAATTATCTTTGGCCTCTTGGATTTTACTAAAGTTCACTGGCTTGATTAAAACACTCCATCTAGCAAGAAACATGCCAGATTTATGATATCTCTAGGGCAGAGAAAAAATATTTCAAGGATTTTCATCCAAAAGGGAGAGGGAAAAAGAAGGTGAGTCCAGATAAGAAATGGATAGCAAGACACTTACTACTTTGAAGTTACTAAACAGGTGCAGTGGATTGAATGAATGTAAATATGGGAAAACAAAAAGTCTCACAACTGGACCAATAAGCAACATCATGATAAATGGAAAAAATATTGAAGTTGTCAAGGATTTCATTTTACTGGGATTCACAATCAATGCCCATGGAAGCAGCAGTCAAGAAATCAAATGACATATTATTGCATTGGGCAAATCTGCTGCAAAAGACCTCTTTAAAGTGTTCAAAAGCAAAGATGTCACTCTGAGGACTAAGATGCACCTGACCCAAGCTGTGGTATTTTCGATCACCTCGTATGCACGCAAAAGCTGGACAATGAATAAGGAAGACTGAAGAAGAATTGATACCTTTGAATTATGGTGTTGTCGAAGAATACTGAATATACTATGGACTGCCAGAAGAAGGAACATATCTGTCTTGGAAGAAGTACAGCTAGAATGTTCCTTAGAAGTGAGGATGGTAAGACTTCATCTTACATACTTTGGATGTGTTATCAGGAGGGACCAGTCTCTGGAGAAGGACATTATTCTGGGTACCTTCTTCCAAGACAGATTTGTTTGTTCTTCTGGCAGTCCACGGTATATTCAATATTCTTCACCAACACCATAATTCAAAGGCACTCATTCTTCTTCAGTCTTCTTTATTCTTTGTCCAGATTTGCATGCATACAAGGCAACTGAAAACACCATGGCTTGGGTCAGGCATACCCTAGTCCTTAAAGTGACATCTTTGCTTCTGAACACCTCAAAGAGGTCTTTTGCGGCAGATTTGCCCAATGCAACGTGTCATCTGATTTCCACACAGACTGAATAAAAGGTAAAAATCTGTATTTCTTCCTTAGTCAATTTTCCACTACAACAGCGAACAATTTCTCTAAGATAGTCCAAGGTTGTTCTGTAGTGTAGGGTTGGCCTGTGTATATAGCTGCTCATTCTGCATACCTTGTATTAACTGCCCACACCATTAATAGTGCAAAGAGCATGCTGTAGGGTCAAAATAACCCTATTGCCGAAATGGTGTTTTCAGTGAGATGAGACCACAAGGCAAAGGTGTCCCTACCACATTCATTTATTATGTGACTGCTAAGGAGTTAATTCCTTATTGCTTTCTTGGCTATTTATTTACACTTCTAGTTCGCAGCATTTATCAGTGGTATCATGATCTCTTCTAGAACTAGACCTTACTTATCTTTGAATCCCCAGTATCTACTCAGTACTGGCATATCACCGATCCTCCAAAATGTCCACTGAATTGAATAAGATTAGAGTAATCTTAGTTATCTTCAAGTTTCAAAACATATGGCTCCTTCAAAAAGGGTTGTGTGCAAATGTAAGTGTATCTTGATGCTTTTAGCGTTTTACTTGGTAAGCTTAGCCAACTAGTTATAACAGTCATATCTGAAGAAGCAACCCTATTCATAAGGCATTGAGGATTTGTGGGTGTTTATTTCCAGGTCCACTTAGTAGACATGCTGGTTTTTCTATCTGCTGAAATATTTTTGAGTCTCTTTGACAAAGACTTCTCCAGTCTTTCCTTGATCTTTGATCTTTCATTTCTCATTTAGCATATGGCTTGCTATACGTATCTTTGCCTGACGAGTAGATTTTAATTTTTTTGGGGGGCAGGGATTCCCATCATAGTACTAGAGACAACTTGTTGATTGAATAAACAAACATCAGGACACAAAAACTAGTATGTGCATTCTGTGCGTGTGCATGCATAAACATTTGTATTGTTACTTGTATATACTGATTAGCATCTAAGGTCATATGTAAATTTATGTACGTATATGGTAGAGGGTTTCACCTTGATAAACCACCCTTGGTGAGGTCACTTGTCTATTTGTGCAAGTCATTACTTGTACAGTGTGGGGAGGTGAGTTTAAAAGGAGGAAACAAGTTATAAACAGAAGTATTTAGCTTTGGAAGACAATGGATTATCTAGATAGTAGCACTAAACTGTACCCTAAATTCTTTGTATTACTTTATGCTGATTATGCAGCTGATGAATCTACATGAGGAGTGCCTTTAATCTAGGTTT